ATCCGCCGGGTTCGGGCTTCCACCCGTCACATACTCAAAGCCGTCCTGGCAACAAAAAACTAATCAAACGAATGAAAGCAAGTGTACAAACACTAGAGTTTCTTGCTGTCTTTGAGCCGAATACTTTATCGACACCTGTGCAAGAGACGATCCGATTCCTCTCCAAGACGTTGCAAAGCATCTTTTGTGCTTTGATATGCTTGCTCCGAGGTCAAAGGAAGCGCCACCTCTACTACCTTGGCAATCTTCAGAGCAAAGACACTCTTAAAGCGCTGCTTTCATGGTCTTTCAGGGCTCGGAGAGTTTGAACCATTTCAGAATCCTTAGGAAGACTTAGGAAGATATATTTTAAATTTATCCATCAGTTGATTGGATTTGCACCACATAATGCTTATAACTCGGTCAGCTCTCTGCCTGCACAGTCTGCCGAGGAGCACAACAAGCGTTGCCACAGGAGCCCATGTCGCGCTTATCACAACCTGGCACCTCGCACTGAAGGCCGGCAGAAAGCACTGGCAACAAGCAACAGCTCAAGATCCAAAAAGTATTCAATATTCATCTGCACATCCTTCAAAAGCTGGGCTACGGCATCTGGCTTGCTGCCACAAATGCTGGGCCCCAGTGATGTCACCCGCCTCCAGTGTCCAAAATGTTTCGCCATGGGCCCCAAGCAATTATGTGTAGAAGTCCGTGGGGCGGAAACCAGAGTAAGGCAGGCCTATCTCGACATCATTGACAGACAAGGCCCGCTGTCGCTGCCGTTGGAGGCAAGTTGGGGGGTGATTAGAGGAAATTTGAGAAGTATGGGCTCTACTTGGTTGGAGGCCATCGCTACTAGGAGCAAGGACGCTACTAGGGGCTCCTGGCCTTACTACTAGGAGCAAGAAGCTACTAGTAACAAGGGGCATCGCTACTAGTAACAAGAACGCTCTTAGGTTGGAGGCCATCGCTATTGGGTTGGAGGAGCCAATTTGGCACTGGTGGATGGGCCGGCGGGACATGGCTGTGACCAAAGGCGTCAGACACTTGGGTGAAGCCCTGAAGCAAAGGTCGCGTGTCACCACGACTTGCGCACATCAACACCCTGAAAAAGAAGCGGGTCCGTAAGACATAGAACAGCATAGTACATCGTCATTGGAATAGAGCCAGGAAAGACTCAGCTATGTATACAAACCTTCAGCAATCGTGTCCAGCAACTTATTGGGCATCCTAGCTAAGTTCATTTTTACACCGACAGCTACTCGTGGATGCTTTTGAATATCTCTTGGTGCTGTCAAGGCTCCAAAGGCAAAGGTAACCAATCAGCACACGCAAAGCCATGGCGACACTTGACAGTGCTGCCAACAACAAGATGTCACGAAGAAAGGTTCAGATCATTCAAATTGAGAATTCTTTGACTACACCTCTCCGTGTCCTACACCTCTTTCGGGAAGAAATTGGTCAGCTTTCTGCAGAGCAAAGGATCGAACGGTCTGACTGCGTAAAGTGTTGCAAAGGTTCTTTGACGTCGTCTGAGTTCCTCACGTGGTCCGAAGCGGCGTGCAAAGGCAGCCATGCTTCTTTCTCGCCCCAAAAAACGAAACGTGTCCACAGCGTCCACGACGCAGTCCGGGGGCAGTGAAAGGGCTGCAGTCACTGAGTCACAGTCATCCAAGTGGATTCTGTCTTGAAAACAGCACACAAAAGGATCAAAGTCAAACAGTTCTAGACTAGTGAATGCAAGTTTAGCCCGTGACAAACTAGAAGACTTCCCGCTAGACTCTAGACGCCCTGTACCTCATTTGACGGATTGCGTCATGAAAAGGCCCTTGGTCGTTCATGTGTTTGTTGAAGACTTCGTCTCTGAACTGACTTTGCCGTACGTTCAGCGCTCATCTTTTCGCAAAAGGAGACTTCGGCACTCGCTGAGCCCATCTTGGGACGCGATGCCGGCTGAAGCTGTGCTTTTGAGTCAGTGCACAAGTGCATCTGGGATCGGTGCAGCTAGAAATGTAAAGCATCTCTCATCACAAGTGGTTTGCTTTGTACACAGCAGTCTGCACAAGTGGCCCCTCCTGATTCAGCTGTGCAGTAGTCTTCAGGACTTGAAAGATCTGACGGATTGAAAGCAAACGTCTGGTTGTAAAAATGTTTGTTAGAAACACATATGTTGTATGCTCACTCAAAACCCGAGTGCACCGTGGACAGAAGTGGCAGATGGGGGTGACAAGTCATCAAAAAAAATGGCCTTAAGAGCCTGTGCTGTTAGCTCTAGCTAGGGATGGAAAGAGAGTCAGTTGCATTTTTAGCATTGTTAGCTCTCAGGTTGGTGTACAGAATGTGACCTGGAAGAGTGTGTGCATGCCGTGTGGGCAGCCCCATCCGCAGGTGGTAAAGGCAACAAGGAACTCAACCTCGTTCCCACCTCGCAGCTGCACATCTACGCGAGCAGAGACGCCTCAAAGAGCAAAGCAGTCCAACCGACAATCAGTTCGAGTGAAGCAGTTCGAGCAAAGCGAAAAACTTCTGACCCGCTCCCCGAGCAAAAGGTATTCGAATGCAATCTGGACGAACTGGACTCTGCAAATTCTACTTTCTTTGAGGCTAGTTTAGCTGTTCTTTTCTTTGTTTAAACTGCACTCAAGATCATTTAAGAAAAAACAGTAGTTCCCGTGTTCTCAGAAGAACCCAATTTTTCTGAACTCTTCTGCCTCGGATCTTCGGCCAAAGAAGCAGAAGCAAACCTCGGAGAAAACATGACGCCAATGACGCCTGCTTGCACAAAAAGCAGGCGACAAAAAACGATCTTTTCATGTCGTCCTAGCAGCGTCCTTTGCTCCTAGTAGCGATGCCAGGAGCCCCTAGTAGTCTCTTGTTCCTAGTAGTAAGGCCAGGAGCCCCAGTAGCGTCCTTGCTCCTGATTTTATTCTTTTCGCTTTCATCATTGTCGTGCACCATGTCGTCATTGTCTAACATCCGCACAGTTCTCGGGCACTGACTCTTCTACAGAATGACTGCCGCACCTCCTGGATTGAAATGCCACAAGTGAATCAGTTTGTTTATAGTCAATTTAACAGGGGTCCAACCACCTTATTGTTTTATCTTTATATGATAGCAATGGTAGCACATGATGCATGTTACCAACCAGCCAATCAAGCGTTCCAACAGCGTGGTAAGCAAGAAACGCCAAATGTAGATGAAGACACAAGTTGCTTTCAGCAGCTCAAATTTGACATAGCTTGGCGAATTAGAAGCTTTTTTCGGAAGAAATGTTCTAGGAGTTCCGCAAGACCGTTGACTCGTCACTACTTGGTCGGCATTATCAGGTATGTGTCCATGTTCCCAAATGTGGTAGCAGCACCAGTGGGCAGCTGCAATCAAACCGCAAAACTAATCTACAGTAAAGTAGGTAGAAGTTAGAACCGTTTCAGTTAGACTTACAAGAGAGGAAACTGCCTTCGTAAACGTCTTCTTCAGCCAAACAAAGGTATATCCCGAAAGTACAATGTCTGTAGAAGTTGTGTGAAGGCACAGTCCTGCACAGGGAACTCCAAGGCTGTAACTGCCTGAAAGAAAGAACGTTGATGAAAGGTGTGGGTTGGATGTGGAAGGACTTGGGACTGTTCCAACATTGTCAGAAAACCATGCTTTGTCAAGACAAGAAGTCCTCCAGAGTAGTCACTGTATATAGGTCTTTTTAGCCCAAGACCTATAAACTCCAATGCTTCGGAAAGAGTCTACTTTCCAAGGGGGAGGCCATGAGAGGAGGCCCAGAGACAAGCGGGAGAAGTAGCGAGGTAGCATCAGTGTAACTGTAGTTGTAGTAGCAAGAAAGCCACTTCCTTAAAGAACCATTCGGAATCATTGACTAGCTTCCTCTATGTTTAGGAACACTCAACTTTTGCTCATGTATTGTTTTCTTTCCTTTCTTTATTGTTCTTTCTTCCTTACGAGTCTAGTGTTACTGTGGTGATAGCAATGTTAGCACTCTGAGGAGTTCACCGAACACATCGACATGGCCAAATGTGATCCCTGTCGGCTGCGAGAGATTCTGAACAGACTCTGAGCAGACTTGCAGTTGTCATCCTAGAGTGCATATCTGGCTTGGCTGAGGCAATGCCATAGTAAAGTGACATTTCAAAGTCAAAGGCTCGAATCATGTCCGAATCTGCTCCTAGACTGGAAATCCACTCGCACCTACTCCCAAGCTGAGGCTCAACTGGAGACAACTACTAACAGCTAGCTGAATAGGACCTTCTCTGAGAAAATACGAGTGGATCTGTGTCTAATTCGGGCCATTATGTCAGTGGCACGCTCTTCCGGATGGCCTGTTTGGAGCCTTCCAAAGATCTTGCAGATTCACAAATAGCGGAAGCAAACGCCGAATCACAGGTGCCAAGCACACCTCTGTCCTGCGCCCAGCATGAGCATTACATCAAACTTGGAAAAACAATAAACAATAAAGCAGGCCTTAGAAAGCTGCAATGTGCTTTGTTAAGATTCCATCAAGTCTTCAAGTCGCTCTGAAAAGCAAGAATTACACCTGTCTCTCAACCTTCCAGTTGACATCTGAATCAAGCAATAAAACATTTATGTGTCGCAGTTGTGGCCCTTCAACTGCTAGTTGAGGCGAAATAAACCAAGCTCTCCCTCCTGGAGTCTGATCTCCAAGGGAAATCGATCACTGGAAGGGCTCTCCAGCTGGTCAAGCAGAATGTCATGGCCATCCCTGGATCAAGGAGTTGTTTCACAATTCATGCTTGTGCAAGCATGGGGAAATGTTTTTAAGACTGTATGAACTCATGTTTTTTCCATGTGCTGTCACACTGTCCACAAAATCGTGGCCTGTCTACAATCACGTAGTCCTCCGTCTTCCCCTCCATAAAAGCATCCAAATCAGATCGCCAGTGTGGACTGAAAGAGATGACGTAGGATGCCTGATGCAACAACAGCTTGCACACGATGCTCACGCAGTCGTTCGAAGTGGAAAGACTTGATCTCTCATATTTAGACCGCTGCCTGCGGCCTTGGTAAGCCAGCCTGGGTTCAACACAACAATGGCATACATGGCCATGTCTTGCAAGCAGAACAAAGACCAGCACAAATAGAACACATCATGAACGAACAAACTTCTTGGGAATGCACCAGAATTGGCAGTTCTCCAGCATGCCGTGCCGCGCTGCGGGGCTCCGATGGAAAAGCTGGCACGTGGCTGGAGGAATCAACTTGAACTCCTATCCTGAGGACACAGACTTTGCAAACAGTATTTTACTCCATGGCTCTGACATACGTCCATGTCTGTTTTCCAGTCTGTTGCTTTTTTGCCCGTCCTGCCCCCCTACTACTTAAATAGTCAAGGGCTAAATAAGCTACTACGAGCGCTCGACCTTTCGCAGCACACACAACCGGAAGTCAGCCCACCGCACGGCAGACCGATGAAAACAAGTCAACCCACAAGAGCAGGAAGTCACCCAACGATGTTACGCCGGCTGTGTGCACTTCCACAGTTGGTCCAAACGTATGGTGCGCCACTGCGGTTGCGTTTAGATGCTCTCGGTGCACTGCACTCAAGCATGCCATTGCGATTAGCATAAAGACCGTGCAGTAAACCATTGATTCAGAACATACATGGTCTTGTCTGTGCCAGTGCGATTAGATTTATGTACTGAAGATGAACCACACACGCATTTTACTACGCGTGTGCCTGGAGCATGCCATTCTGCAAGGCACACTGGCCGTGGCACGACTTCACGCGACGCGGCACGAGAAAGGTCAAGGACCCAGTACCTACTGGACGCAGGATAGCTCACACAAAACAAACACAGACTTTGCAAACACTTACGCCATCTTACGCCTTTGTCAATTCTAAATTGCCCGACATCCTTTCGTGTCATGTGACTGATGAACACGACTCCCTTCTGTGCCCAAACAAATGTGTTAAAATCCGCTGTTCAGCAAAAGAGCTCCATTGTTTGTCAAACAAAGAAAACAAGGAAAGTGATATGACCAGGCAAAAGGCACAAAATACACATGCACAGCTGGCTTACAGCACCTTCATCTGCATCTCTAGAGCCACCCAAGAACTTGGGTAGCACCTGCAGGAAACACGATAAGCACAATAAACACAGCGAATTGCCAGATCGTCACGATCCCTGCAACTTTCAGTTGAGCTTGAAGCACGCTACACTAGAAAACTGCAAATGCTGGCGTACCGAAGCATCTTCAAATAGCTGCTGCGCAAATGGGCAAAGCCTCAACGAACAGTTTGCTCCAAATTATTCATGGGCGGCACAGGCCAATGGGCAATGAATGCCGTTTTCTTAGAGCCCGTGGCCCTGCCT